AAATGCCATGTTTGGTCTAGCCACGTTGTGACCGTATTTTGCGAAATCTTGAATAGTTGATGGATGACAATGGTGCTAGGATATGGCGGCTGACGATGGAAGTTCGGGTGGAGAATATATTTTGATTCACTGCAAAGTGTTTTGTTTGTGTTCTTGCTTCTCAGTCATAAGCTTCGCTTAGAAACTTCCCAAATTCCTCGATTCGAGTCAGCCACTTGTGCACCTCCCGCCCGCCCGGAAAGCTTTTTGTCAACGGTGATGCCTACGGCTCGAGGCCGCCCGTAAGTTCGTTATTTTCTATTCCATGTCGTGTATGTTTGGTTGCTTAGGTTTAATGTTACTCTCGTGGCCGCGAGTTCGGGGGCCGGGAAATCGAGTTTTTGCAATCGACCGTTTGGTAGGCGCGTTGGCTAGTGGCTAGGGTGTAGAGTTGGTGGCGGTCGTCGATGTGGCCAGCGTGGGCCGAGCCGTCGGGCGACGATGGGGGGCCCCGGCGAAGTCTCGGTGGGAGCATGGGGAGGTCTCGGTGAAGGGCCATTGAAATAGAGAAGTTTGGGGAGGAAGATCACGTGCATGGGGCAGTAGGCATGCAGGAAGGGGAGGAAAAAAGTAAAAAGAAAAAATATAAAAAGAAAGAATAAGAAGAAACAAAAGAAAAAGAAAAAGAAAAGAAGGAAAATCCAAAAAAAAATCAGAAAGGAAATAGAAAAGGAATCCGGGTCAGGTGACCCGGTCGGGAATTTTTATTTCGTTAATTAAAATATTAAAATACTAAAAAATATTAAAATGTAAAAAAGTCCAAAAAAATTCGAAAATGTTCAAAAAAAATATTAAAAAGTCTGAAAAGCATTAGAAAACATTAAAAAATTTTAAAAAATTAAAAAATTTCGAAAATCAAAAAAATATTATTTGGGCTCCGGAATTGACTTTTCTTGCCCCTTTTGCGTAATTAGCGTCATGTTTGATCGCACGTTGCCTGATTCGCACACTTTGAATTGCGCATTCAATTTAATCTCGTATGTGGCTGATTATGCACGTTAGGTTCAGGTATTGATTGTTGCTTCTCTTAGCTTGGTTATGAATGAATTTTTGAGACTCCTAGTTAGTGTGAACACGTTAGGTGGTGAAGCACTAGTTGGTCAATTAGTGTAATCAAGTCACCGTACCCATTGAATCTCTGATTTGTAGAAGTAAAGCATTTCTCCAGTGTTTTACTTGGATTTCTAGTCGACCCACCAAAAACTGATTAGTGGCGACTCCTAGATGAAATTGATTTGCATGTTAACAACTTAAATTTAAGTTGCGAATTGGTATGGGCTTGGGAGAGCTCGAGCTAGGTTTAACTTAATAATCCATTAGCCAAACCCCTTAGGCGACGAGGCCGATTCGGGAAGGTCGCGATAGGGTTCAAAATGGGAATGGTCCTCGACGTATATAAGCTTCTGTGGCATAGGGGATTTCATTTTCTAAGGACCTTAGCTATTTTCTATGGGACACGAAGGCTCTTATCATCAGTAGAAAGTATTTTTTTAAACGGGTCTCGCATGAAAGAGTGCAACTGAAAACAAAACCGCATGATTTACTATTTTTGTCAGACTGAAAGGGTAAAACTGTGCAATTTTCCGGATTAAGTTGCCCTTTCTTGCGTTTAAGTACTAACTAAGAGATAACTAATTACCTCGTCATAAGGCCACTGCTTCCTGGCAAAGCCACCCTAGTAGACACCATTATCGATGGCGTCGCATATCCCATTCGTTGGTTTCGTCGTCAATGCGAGTTTTCAGGGGAGGATGATATAGGCCCAGAGCAGCATTCTCTGCTGAGTGATTGAACTGGGCGTTAAACATGCAAATGATCTCAGAGCTTTCATTGTTAACGATTGTTTTGAGTTTCTTATCCCCTAAGGAACTAATCCAAAAGCAAAAGTTTTTCCTCGTCAGATGAGACGACAACAAATGAAAAGGATAATGCCGATCTTGAGAAGAAAGAAAGCACGGATAAACAGCCCTCGTCAGCATAAGGTCACTTACAGGAAGAGCAATTGGTACTAGCTAACTCGTAAAGCTCTCTTATACTTTTTGCGCCATTGAGAGGATCTGGTTCAGCCCCGGGTTCCTCAGTATCTGAAGAAGGGAAAACCCATCCCATATGCTCGTCACTTTCCTTTGTTCTATCCCTCCGAGGTTTGGCTGACTGAACTTGTTTGGAGATCCCAATTTAGTAAAGTTAATCCCGATTTAACTCCGAACCCACGGTGCAATTTACCGGGAAATGATGGCCTTGTCGAGTCCCTTGATCTTCGAGTATGCGAGACACGGGGACGCCCATGGACAGGCATATGATATGTACAGATGATACCGTCTAGATTCTGCTGGAAACTGTGAACTAGGATCCCTCAAAATAAGATAACGAAATGTTGAAGCAGTTCTTAGAAAAGCACCAGAACGGACACCACATCTAGCCCAGACCGGGCCATCTGAATGCTGTTCTGGCCCCTGGGGGAGTTGTGCTTGCATTCTACGAAGCGACGGTGCAACTTGAACCATCAACTCTATTTTGCATACAATGGTCGACCGGACCAGGTAAAAATCATTGGTTTTTCACGTGTGTAATACTTAAAGAAACAAATCCAATGAAATCCGTGGTGCAATTTCACTACAATTAGATGGTGGAGTGCCGGTCCAAAATAAAACAAATGACATTTAAGGAGTCACGGATAAATAATATAAGATGTCCGATACACAAATAATATAAGGTGGATTGGACTTCCAATTTTTTCCGAAGTTTTTTTCACCGAACAGTTGGCCATGGACTTGATTTTTCACCGGAGTCGCTTCGTTACCCATGATACTGTTGTCTCTCTAGATGAAAAGCTTTCGGTCGGAGAGGCATCGCATTTCATTTCGGTCGGTCATTTCACAACCTATTAATATGCTCTAAGATTATATCTTCAAAGAGCCTACACTTCTCAAATCTTCATTGGCCAATACGGTTGTTCCCAAAACTGTTAGTCACCGGATATGACATCGCGTCCCCGCCATCATTCATGGGAACCAAACTGAATTTTGGTCATTAATAATTCTAGTTTTTTTTTTTCCTCCCTTTTTCATTTTAAACTTGCTCTTGGGCAAACAAGATTTCATTTATGGGAATCAAATCCCAGCGGGTGAGATTTTGATTTCCCAAGGAAACCGGACAAAAAAGTCATCCGGTTTCCTTGGGAAATTGTGGGGGTGCAGACCAACGGACGAAACAACTTCTGAAGCTGCTTTTGTGGAGGTTTAAAGCTGAAAACACCAACAGAAAAACACATGGATGATGGAGTCTGGATGGGCAAAACTTTTGCTTAGATTTGGAAATTGAATCGCTGTGTCACCTCAAATTTTATATTCATTTTCGCAGAATCATTAAATTTAGTCTGGGTCGATCAAGATTTTACAAAAGATTAGCCACCGAGATTCAAGACCCGAAATAAATTTCGAATCTAGAAAATAATTTTACTCATCAATAAGATCTTTCGACACTTGTATTTCCGCTCAAATCTGATAGTCATTTTTTTTTTTACATTGCAGGACCGATACGCTCGTTCCTCGCGGCGGCGGGAAGTTTGCCATTTCTCAAAAATCGAAACTTATATTCGCAACATGCCCTCCGGTACTAAATATTAGATGCTTTTAGTGGGCTTTCTAAAAAATTATCCAACCAAGCAAAAAAATGTTGCACATCCTTTGCTTTATTTATTTTTGAAGTTAGCATCGATTTTGCCCGTTGCTACAACGCGTGCAAAAGTCATTCTTTATAATGAATATTATGAACAGGATAATATCCATTGAAAACGATTGTTTAAATGCTGGGTAGAGGAAGTACGAATCTTTTGCGACGGAGAATGAAGTAATTATGCAAAACTCTCAAGACATGATAATGCATCGAGGACGTTTGTAAGTAAGCTGAACATTAATGTTATTCTTTCAATTTATACGAGTTCTTTTTTTTTTTTTTTCTTTTTGCTTTATTTCTATTTCTTGATAATAGAAAGAAAATCGCGTAGACAGAGATTTTGTCCTGCTCCCGTACATTAAAGACAGCTGGCGCGGGCGGCGGGAAGTGTGCCATTTCCCGATTTGAGCTTGCACATCCTGCTCCAGTACTACCACTACGCCCCACTAGTACTCGCATCGCTCTGGGTCGCTCTGTCGCTCTGTCCATCATCATCATCATCATCATCTTCATCGACGATTCGTCAGAGACACCGTTCCCCGTCCAGAAAAAGGTCCTCTCTTCCTCTCTCTCTCTCTCTCTCTCTCGTCCTCCCTCCTCCCGCACAAGTCCCACACCCCCTCTCTCTCCCGCTCTCCTCCTCCTCCTCCTCTGCCTCCAACTGCTCCGCCGATAGCTCTCTCCTCACTCCTCCTCCGCCCCCCACCCGTGGCCGACGCCGGCGTTGAGAGCATTCCTCTCTTGCGGGACTTTGAGTTCCCTCCCTACGACACCACCGTTGAGCCCAGGCGCACATCCGTCCTGCGATTGGCTCTCTCGTGAAGAAGCTGGTAAAAAAGAAAAAAATGATGTCTTTTTGTCTCTTTTTGTTGATGCTGTCGTTTGAGGTCTTGGTGTTGTGAATGTCTTTATGCCGCAGGAGGGGTGATTTGGAGGAGCTGGAGAGAACGGCGGAGCCGTCGTGGTCGAGGCTGGTGGAGCCGTTTCGAGAAGATTGTAGATCGATGGACGGTAGTCTGGGGGGATGATCGATCATCTCCAGGCCGTCAAGTGTACCGCTGAGCTGCGTGCTTGCGAGAGACGAAGTCGAGGTAATTTTTTTCTTTCACTTTGTGTTGGTTCACTTGGAGAGGGATCTTCTTGAAAATGATATTGGGTGATGAAAAGGGGCGTAGTTAGAAGACTTAAAAGTTTGTTCTTGAAATGCCGCTCTTGCTGCTTTTGGATGAGTGCCTTTTTCACTCTAGCATGCGATGCCGATCAATTCATTTTTATCTGCTTCTGCTTAGCTTGCGTGGTTTTCTGAGCGATGCTTTCCTTGTCTCCATTTTGTAACGCAGGCAGAGAAAGGTTAGGTTCGATCTTAGACTTGAGCAAAGCGTTCTATTCACAACGCTTTGAAAGGGCTCTTCGAGAGTCACTCGATAGCAGACCCACAAAAAGATTAACAGAGTCACCTGATTGGAAGATATTGACCGATGCTCGAAAACGGGTTGTCGAAGGTGAATAAGTTTTGTTGCTCTTTCTGTGGCAATATGACAGTATCGTTCATTTCATTGATCTCATCGCCGTTTCCCTTTTTAAGTTGCATCGTGATGCCCCTACCTTGGCTTTTGAAAAAATTTTGTGTTGCAGACCAAATCAGGAAAGGAGTTCTCAATGAGGTTGCCTTGAAAGACGCTAAAAGAGAAGAGTTCAACAAAATTGAGCAGGTGATGCGTTTTATCAATACGCCCAACAAATTAAAATCTGTTAGTTGGTGATGGTGATAGTGTAAACTGTTTTTCGCCAATGTATAAACGACAAATATGATATTGCGTGATTTTGTTGGCTCTATATCAATAACACGTGTCAAAACTTTCTTAATATATCTCCTTATCCCTGCTGTCAGGGGATAATTTGCGTTAAATTCATGTGTATAGAAACTAAAGTTTGTTGTGACTTGTGGAATTGAACAGCATGTGATGTCTGAGATGATGAAGGCACTTTTGCTATAGTTTGAGGGGTGTCGGATATGAGTTGTTCTAAATTCTAGCGTCTGAGTGATGGGAATTACTCAATTTTGAAAATCTGTTAGTAGTGGCATTGACTGTATTTTCTTTATGAGCAAGAAAGTAGTAGAGTAGATTACGTTATTTGAACATTTCAATCATCCAATCACTGCCTTTTGATTAATTAGTTGATTACAGCAACTTCGAAAATTATGTCGAAAGTTTGATGAGAATATCATGGATGCCACAAGGAAATTCGAAAAATCGATTACTGATAAGACGAAGATGGAAGGATTGTCTCCTCGAGAACTTGATCTGGCTGCACAAACAGCGGTGTCAAAGGTGATACACAATAGCAGCTATTTTGCTGAGCTATTTTTTCTCATATTTCTTTGAGCACATTTTATCCAAGAGTCTGTTTGATCTTTTACTTATAATTTTCTTGTCATATTCAAGGGGTATGAAAATGCAACGGCGGAAGATGGACCCTGGGTGATCACCTTGGATGAACCAAACTATCATTCTTTCATGGGGATTGCTCAAAATAGAGCTTTACGTGACGAAATCTACCGTGCCTATGCTACTCGGGCCTCCAGCGGAGATACTGACAACACTCTAATCATTGATGAAATCTTGAAGCTTAGATTGGAAAAAGCTAAGCTTCTAGGTTATGACAATTATGTTGAGGTATGACTTTTTAGGACTATCTATCAGATTTTTTTTCGTTTACATTTAATAATTATATTTCTTTTTAATTTTTCTGTCTGATTTTTGAATGGATTAGTGTGAAGCTTGTTAGACAAAATACTTTTGTCATCCATGGGATGATACCATTTGAATTAGTCACTAATTGTAGACCAACTCCCATTGTTTTTGGCTGTTGTCATGAGTATATGATTTACAAGGGAATATGGCAGACAAAATGGTTATTGTAGGCACTTATGGAATTATATATATGTAATGTCTCTAAAATAAATTCTTTAAGTGTTTCTTAAGTATGCTTCCGAACCTCTCTTTCCTCTGTTTTCCTCGAATTATCCTGGAGGAGAATCTATTTTGCATGTGTGACCAATTCATTGTTATTGTTTTATCATCACATCTTAATGCAAGAGTCTCATCAGGTTAGCATGGCAACAAAAATGGCTACCATTGATAAAGCGGAAGAGTTTCTGGAAAAGCTTAGGAGTGCTTCATGGGATGCTGCAGTTCAAGGTATGATGTAGATGAATAACCTAGTATATTTAAGTCTCGTCAGTACATGAACTTTTAATTTGTAATCGATGTTGGTTTGTGCTTCACAAGTTTTCTTTACCCTCTTTGGAGAAATCTAATAAGCTTTAGGGGGAGTAATATGATTTAAAGGCTCAGTATCCCTTGTTTATATGGGAATATCGCGTGATCGGATGTTGCCCTTTTGGGTTCCCTTGTGATAAATGTTACAAGATAGTTCTCTGCTGCTTCAAATGTGCATGGTATTCCCTGTATTGCATCATATATGTTCTTGCATATATCCATATGAAGAGGGTATTAATAACGCGCGCACACACTCTCTCTCTCATCATGATGTTATCCCCAATTTCTTTCTTTCGCGTCGCACTTATCCAATTGCCACTCAACAGCTGGTTTAGCTAGCCGTCTTGATCGCTAGATCCACTTTTCACCAGCACATAGTGATCGAGCTAAATCAAGCAAATCTAGTTTTAGTAAGGAGATGGGGAATAATAGGAGCACATCTAGAATTTTGCAAGAGCAATGCAGTCATTGTAACAACAGCATTTCATACAAATATCAATGTGCAAATGGTGGTGATGAGGGTTGAGGGGTGGATTAATGAGTTGGATGGGCCTGGGAAAAGTAAGGGGGGCAAGGCTGAACCTTTAATTTAGTTTGATGACGTCAACGGCCAATATTAGGTTGCTTTCAGAGATTTTCCTTTTAATTTCAACTCAACGTCCATATCTTGATATGTGTTGCCTTGATTATTTAGACATGGAGGACCTAAAACAATTCGCCAAGAATCAAGGGGCAAAAGAAGCTGATGATTTGAGCCATTGGGACATTGCCTTCTGGACTGGAAGGCTGCTTGCGTCGAAACAGGAAGAACATTACATCGCTATTCGCAAAAAGAAATTGAGAGTGATTATTCAGACGACGAGGACCCAGAACGTTTTGATGAGAATCAAGGGGCAGAACAATGTGATGATTCGAGCCATTGTGACATCAACTTCGGGAGCGAGATGCTGCTTGAAGCAGAAGATGACATTGATGAGGTTAACTCTCTCTGTCTCACACAAATGTGTATAGAGTATTTTATACAGCAAAAATTGCATTACTGATAGTAAAGTGAATAAAGATACTTGCTCCTGAATAATCATGCTGTAATATACATCATAATACATACAGACACAGATATACATGTATGTACATGTAGGGCCGAAATGGGGTACCTTTTCTTTTGGGGGAATTTTGGGGGTTGGGGGCATTAAGAGCAGAAGAGAAGGGTTTCGATAGGAAACCTGGGGAATAGGAGGTGGGGGTGCACATGATAAATGCAAAAGCGTCTTGAATATGCGGTCAGGCTGCTTACCAAGTCTTGTCACCCTTTTCTGGTTAATATTTCTTTTCCTTTAAAATTTTTAGGAACGCAATAATTAGAGCCTGATTTACGTATGTGAATATGAATAGCCTCACAACTTTTTGCAATTTCCAGGATGATACGCATAGATATTTCTCGTTGCCAGAAGTGATGGAGGGCCTTTTCAACCTTGCAAGGACACTTTTTGGAATTGAGATTGAGGCTGCTGATGGACTAGCGCCGGTAAATAAGTGTAATGCTTTGCTCCTGCCTTTCCTGTGCTGTTAGTCCATATATTCTGATAAAATGCTTATTTATTCTCCAGGTCTGGAACAATTATGTTAGATTCTACCATGTGAAAGATTCTATCGGAAATCCAATTGCATACTTCTATTATGATCCCTTTTCTCGACCATCTGAGAAAAGGGGAGGAAGCTGGACAAGTGAGGTTGTTGGTCGAAGCCATGTGCTGTCTCGAGATGGTGCAAGTGCAAGATTACCAATTGCTATCATAGTGTGCAATCAAACACCAGCTTTGGGGAACAAGCCGGCTCTTATTACGTTCCAAGAGGTCGATTTTCTACTCCTTTCCTCGGTTTATTGACCTTCTTTTCTACTATGTGAGTCCGAAATACTAAACAGATGGAGGGTAGCCAGTGCGGCCACAAGCTAATGCAAGCCGGTGGGAACGAAATATTACCATCAGAAATAGTAGACGAGGGCTCTTTAGTCTGGTTTCGACGATCTTAGTTTTAACGATTTGGTAACTTCTTGACGATTCTAGTTTTAAATAGGGTTCAAAGTTCTGCAACTGTGAAGACATTTATGAATATGTCCACGTATATATTTGTCCTTATTCCACCCGCTAGGGGCGGGACTGCTGAAAGAATCGAGAAGTAGGTTCAATAACAGTTGTTAGCAAGAGAAGATTAGTTTGTGGAAGAAGACTAATGATGTAAATGCCAAGCAAATTTTTGCTTGAGAATTTTGTGATGACAATCTATTTTTTGATGTGATTTCATGGAATCCTTGTAGTGCTGATATTTTTCTTTGTATGATGCCTAAAGATACGCACTTCTCTCCTCCAATACCTGTATCTAGAAATGGGTCTATCGTTCAACTTTCAATATTACCTACTCCCATTCTAAAATCGTTCTGATTCACACCCGATACTTGGTGAGTCCTCAGTTATTGACCATGACAGTTTTATATGATTAATTGAGCCATTCTTGTGCCATAATAATTTTACCCTTTCAGATGATTTTGTCATTGTTATGAATGATGAGACTTCTGACCTTATGCTCATTGTAGTGGTTACTTGTCCTTCATTAAGTATCTTCATCCTCTGTTTGATATCTGCCATTTAAGCATTCGTGGTAATATATGTGTTGCTGAAATTGGCAGGTGAAAGTTGTTTTCCATGAATTTGGTCATGCGCTTCAACACATGCTAACCGAACAGGACAAAGGCCTTGTTTCTGGCTTTAGAGGAATAGAGGACGATGCTGGGGAACTCCCCTCGTTCTTTATGGAGAACTGGTGTTATCACAGGTAATCTTGTCTAGTAATACTCTTATAGAGCATTAGGACTAATTGATGTGCCATCATGGTTGGATGTGTTTGCACTTCGCAAATATCTAAAATGGTTATGCATATACCGTGGATTACAACAAATGATTGCTTCATGAAGCATTATGCGATGTTTGTGTCGTGATCTAGATGTTACTATATAATTTGTGTGGCTCTTGTCAGGGTACGTTGAGATGAATCACAGTTGAGTTGTGAATTGCTCTATTAATATTAGCTTTGTAGGTTTACTAACTTGGCATTACTTAGGGATTCCTCCTTTTAGTATAACTCCACTTCTGGCTGGGAGGTTCACAGTTACTGGTTTCTTTTTAATATATTTTACACAGTTACCGATGTTTACTCACTTGATTTATAGATAGGTGGAAAAAGGAAACAGACTGGAAAATAATGTTTAACTTATATGGTACATCTATCAACTATATCTGAAAGGACAGTTCTCAAGCTTAGTAGTTTGAGTCCAAAAAAAAAAAAAAAGCTTAGTAGTTAGAGTAGACAATGAATGGCCTTTACTTACCAACTCCACCTTCTCAATATTTTATCATTTTTCCTCTTCAATACATACCCATTACATTATATTTCATCTATACTTTTTTAACTGGCATACCCACGTAGTTTTTATTTATTTGGACCTTTTGGATTCATTAATTTACATGATGCGTGAATAAATTCCATTTTTATCATTCTAATATTAGATTTTTATTGATTATCATTTCATTGCTCGTAAGTCTTTTCCTTACTTTACTTCTCTAGTATGTGTATAGCAGACGTTAAGTATGGATATTTTATATTAATCCAGCTTATTTGCACTTTCTTAGTAGTTCCAATCATAAGTCTTTTCATTACTGTTATTGCGTTGTGTGTGGATAACAAATAAAGTTGTGATATTTTATCTTAATCCAACCGATTTGCACTTTTTTAATAGTTTCGCTATCCTCGTTTACTTCGTGTGCCTATTAGTATACATATTACGCATATCAAAAAGGAAATACTACAAGAAATTGAGTTTAACGTATTCATGTGCACAACTTGGGCATGTATTCATGTGCACAACTTGGGAGATACATTGGGTTGATATACACCTCCACAATGTCATTTTCTATTGGTTTTTTTTTCGCTTTTCCTATTTCATGTTCCCAATTTTTTTAAGCTTAGTTAGTCGTTAAGCTCAAAAGAATAGGTAGTAAAGAAAACCCCACTAAGAATGCGTACTTATCGTTATGTCCACATCAGTACGTATTATGTAGGTTTTAAGCATATAAATGTAATAGTTTATATAAAGAAACAATCTTTTTCAGTTATTAATGTTGTAAGGTTCTTAAAGAGTGAATATCCTGACTTTGTTCCCCTGCTGTTAAAACTCTTTTCTCTTACCTTTGATGTTAACAGTGTCAGAATGTTTGAATCTATAGTGATATCATATAAACTTCTACTTTCTGAATTTTGTGTTTTTATATTTGTGAATACTATACTCATGAAGCATAAGAAAGAAATCAACAAAATGAATATTTTCAACTTAATCTCCTGCATATTAACAACATCGACAAGAAAACAAATTGCCTTCCTCTGTTTGATGAAGTAGATTATGAAAAATATTGAGTATTTTGTTTCTCAAAAAGTTTTACTGTGAAATGAATTAAGCTCTTGCTTGAAGAAAGAACTTGAAGCATAAATAATATAACCAATTCTTTCCTAGAAACATGGGAACACTTCATCTCAATACAATATTTCTTTTATTTTCTTTATCATTATCTTTTACTATTTTGTTTCCTCGAACGAAAATACTTTTAACATCTTATGATTTTTAGGAAAAACATTGAGACCAACATCATCTTTTTCACTTTAGTTTAGTCATAGTAAACAGGCCGTCGTATAAATTGACGTGCAAAGCTTTCAAATGCAACTGTAAAAACTCGTCATAATTATGTTCAAGAATTGTTCGTTATTGTGCTGTGCTAACCTATGAACAATTATCAATGAAGTGCACATAGTAGAAAAGACCCTCTGTCTCTCTCATGCCGTGCATGCACCCGTGCTTGCAAATACTATATATGAGTTCATGAATGGTGGTAACCTGGGAAAATCATTATATTACCCTTGAACTGCAAGGATACCTTGATGCTTCTCGATGGGATACCTTGTTGGGAATGGCAAAGCACTATAAAACTGGTGAGTCTCCCTGAAGCTTCATGGCGATTGCTCCTCAACTCTACTTTTCAAGCAGGCACCAAAAACCTTGGACAGGTTATTTCTGACTAACGCAAAATTGTTTTGCTTTGTTCTTTTGTACAATGTACATACACTGTTGAAGTTTTAGGCACCAACTGTTCGTTTTGTTTTTCCTTTTTCCTGTGATTATTTTTCTCTACAAGAAAAAAATATTGTATAATTTGGTGTACAAGAAACTTCTTCCAAAACTTTCTAGTTTTTGCTGTTGATTACTTGAGCTATTTGGTAATTAGCTGGGAACGTTCTTTATTCATTAACTATAATAAGTGAATTTTCTCTGGGTGGTGCTGAAGGACGTATATATGAGCTGAAAAGTAGATAAAATAAGTTCATGAGAGCCTATCGACATTTAGCATATTATACCAGTTGTAAAATGTTGTCATCTAATTCTTTTCTTTCCAATCTATCTTCCTGTCTTTTCCCTTTTGCATCTGTCACTTAGTTTGATGCCTATGGTTTTTAGGCATGACAAACCCCTGACCAAAGCAATTGTAGAATTGGTCTAGCCCAGTTCTTCAGCTTCTTGTCTGGTTAAGAATCGACTGAAGATGATTCACCATTTCCAGCTTCTTACTTCTGTGACACCTTTTGAAGTTGGGACTGTTTTAAATAGCTTCTGAAGAGAAGAAAGCTATTCTAGCATGCATTGCCCTGTCTGCCGGGGAATTATCTCACGTGTACTTTGTCCTTGTGGTGCTGCATTTATCAAGAGCTGAATGCTGCACCTCTTGTTTATTGAGGTTCCACCGTCTATCCTGTTTGTGGCCATTCAAGCATGCAATTTTGAAATGACAACACAAAAGGAGAGGGCTACATACGTCATTAGCTCATGTCGGTATGGTAGTGAGGGAACGAAAAGTTTACTTGTTCGTTTAACCTTAGTGCAAGCATGATTTCTACCTTGATGTTTATTGTAAATACTTTGAAATGATGCAGATCAAATTAATTTTCCGGAGAACATTGCTCATTAATAGAATGAACATTAGCAAAGAAAAATTAGATTATTGGGAAATCAGAAATTATATATGCTGAAAAGTTGCTCTTACTTCAGGAATCATACTGATGTACATTTTGGTATAAATTTGTTATTACTTGCTTTATTGTCTACGGAACTTCTCAGATAAGATGCGGAAGTGTAGATCTACAGCTTCATGCAAAATGTGTTCATGGTGGGTCAGAATCTGTACATGATGTGGATTGAAGGGTTTGTGAAAAAACCATGGTGATCCCTCCACTTCCTAAGGATCGATTCCTTTGTAGTTTTCGCCATATATTTTTAGGTTTGTTTTCCTGACCGTCAAAATGGTTCTTTGAGAGTATGTGTACCTTATTGGATCATCTTAATCTTACATGGGTGTGAATCTATTTTTTTTCACTTACATTCAGGTCCTTATGTAGTTGGTTTTTACTGTTACGAGGTATATGATATTCTTTTCTGTTTATTATGCCAGATATTTTTTTTTCAGGTACTATTTATCCAGCTTCTAATAGATGATGAAATAGTTTCTCTGAATATAATAGGCCCCTTTTCTTTGCAGTGGCTGTCAGTTCTGAGTACTGGTTTATCCATATTCGTGTTTAATTGATTTATTTTCATGAAATGTGGTTCTAATCGTGAATGTTTTGGTTTTCAGTGGGGAAAGATGCTATCTGCAGATGCTTTCTCCGCATTTCAGAATGCTGGTTTAAATGACAGCAAGGTATGTCCGAGAAGTTGTGGACATATTTGAAATAAAAATTATGCCTGCTAAAAAGGCACCTTGGTCCTTGTGTTTGCCATTCATGTTTGGTTTACTCGTGTGCAAGGCAGTGCTAGTAATAAACATTGAACATTGCTTTATCTTCTCCTTATGGACTAGTGGTGAGTAATCCAGTGAACGTCCGAGCAAAGAGGGGAAGCCTGGCCGAAACTGATCCGTCTGCGTACTGTGTATGCTTAACCACTTATGTCCATCGCTCTCTAATGATTGTACATGAGGCAGGTCCAGTCCTGTGGGATTGCGTGCTTGCACTTTTCTCACTTTTAAGCACAACAATGCCTCATGATTCTTTCCATGAATGGATAGGGGCCAAATCCTGTTTCGAAACCCATTCAGCCTCAATGCATGGCTTATTTCCATACTTAAGCTCCAATTGCAACCAATGAGATTTCTTTTTTTTCCGAAAGCATGACTGTGTCGCTCCAAAGTTTTGGAAAAAATTATTGTTATCCATGAGATCAAACAAGGAAGAAGTGAGCAATTGACGAGAAAGCTTGTTAGATACTTTATATCTACGCGTTTTGAGTTTGAGGTCTCTATTGCACCAGCAATATCTCAAATATAGTTTCTCTGTTATTAGTGTCTTGCTTTTTCTCCAATTAAATTCCTGAGGCCAGGATAACAATAATTTGAGAAAAAGCAAGACACTAATAACAGAGAAACTATATTTGAGATATTGCTGGTGCAATAGCGACTTCAAACTCAAAACGCGTAGATATAAAGCATCTAACGAGCTTTCTCGTCAATTGCTCACTTCTTCCTTGTTTGATCTCATGGATAACAATAATTTTTTCCAAAACTTTGGAGCGACACAGTCATGCTTTCGGATAAAAAAGAAATCTCATTGGTTGCCATTGGAGCTTAAGTATGGAAATAAGCCATGCATTGAGGCTGAAAGGGTATCGAAGCAGGATTTGGTCCCTATCCATTCATGGAAAGAATCATGAGGCATTGTTGTGCTGCAGAAGTGAGAAGAGTGCAAGCACGCAAACCCACAGGTCTGGGCCTGCCTGATGTACAGTCATTAGAGAGCGATGGACATAAGTGGTTAAGCATACACAGTACACGGATCAGTTTCGGCCAGGCTTCCCCTCTTTGCTCGGACGTTCACTGGATTACTCACCACTAGT